CTAGGACGCTGATCTTCGAACCCTATCTACAGTAAAGAGAGGTTCAGTCACTGGACGCAATGTTTTTGGCTCAAATTTTGCCATTTCTACTGAATTGTACACAAGATTTCACACTTACAGTTGATAGGGGGAGGGGGTTGAATCTTGGTACTTTAAATCTGCTGCTTGTCACTGAAGTGCTGTCTTCACCAAATTAGATAAGCTGGTCGCTAGTGTCCTGACGTGGCATTTTCGATTATCCAGGCAGCTTTCATTTCTTTGGTGTAAAGGGCTTGGTGGTTTTGTTGCTGCTAACGTTGTTATGTTAGCCCAATTTCGTTTCCTGTAATAATTGCTCACTCAGCGGTTCTCCCAATTTACAGCACTTAGCAAAATTTTAGCTACTTCAGGATACTCGTTGTGCGTGTATATGTGCATATGTGTAAGTATGTGGCATGTGTGTATATATGTATGTATTTGTGTACGTTGTGTATGTGTGAGTATATGTAAGTGCATATGTTTATTTATATATATATATATGTATGTATATGTGTGTATATGTATATGTATGTGTGTATATGTGTATGTGTATATATGTATGTGTGTGTATGTTGTGCAATATATATGTGTGTACATGTATGTGTTTATATGTATGTATGTGTGTGTTTGTGTTGAGCATCCATCACCTTATCCCGAACATTGCCATCACTGGACTATGATGTGTTTAGGTACCGATGAGGTAGCTTCTATGAGGTAGACTATGCTTCTGTAGAAGGATGCTTTAACTCCTTCCCCCTCCTTCCCTTCTCCATACGTATGAATGAGTGCCTTTAATGCCTGTCTTCCCTGAATGTGGAAAACGGGGTACCGGAACAGGGGGATTATGAGATCCGCAAAATGCACTTGTTTTGAACCAGTCATTTCTACCGTTAGTGCTGGAAACGATTACTCAAAAGCGAGTGCATTTTGAGGATTTCTGTGACGCAGTGGACGTCCGTACTATCCAAGATTACATTGCTGCACGAATTAATTCGCGCAAAAATGCATAATTACATCGACAATAACCCGTATTATTTTGTTTTTTTTTTTTAGGTCCCATGAATCCGAACAGTGGCAGATGTACAGTGGAGCAGAGTAGCAGTAGCTGCAGTGGGTTCCTGGAAGTTAAAGACGAGCATAGTGGTAGCAAGGATAATCTGGATGACGGTATGGCTGAAGCAACGGCAACCGCAAAAACACTTGCTGACATTTCAAGTATGCTTGTGCAGCACGACTCGAATGGCCTTTTTGCCAGTGATACTTCTGAAAACAGTAAGTTTTTGGCCTTTTTTTTTGCAAAATTGGCAAGATTCATGCATCAGCGGTTCTATAAAGTAGCAGAATTGTACAGCAACGCACTTTATAGGATTTGAAAGAGTAGTATATATGCATTTTAAAAAAATAGTGTTTTTATTTATTGGCTGTTAAAATTCGACTGTGTTCCTCTCCGCGACGGGCTAGCAACGCCAAACAAACTGCATATTTTAAAGCGTAGACGATTTTCAGGCCCCCGTCCTCTTCCAGTCTCCTAGACAGGTACCTACAAAAGCTACAGGGCTGAAACTTTGGGAACTTAATCTACATGCACGTACGAGCCCCCATCCCCAAAATGGGCGCTCTTACCCACGTGGTTCCCACACATGGGACCGTAAAAATTTTTGGTGGGTAAGTTGCTGACTCGGATACCAGAGAAGCTAAAAAGCTGAAATTTTAAAATTATGTTTCCTGACAGTCCCAACGGCCAGTCTCAATTTTTTTAGCTAGAAGCATCTGCTGGGAAAAACAGTGTTGATAGCGACAAAAACCTGGGGTGAATTCTATGCAGAAAATGCATCTTCGCACCGGTAGTTGGCCTTGCCAATTTTTTGTCCATTATTCATACTGAATAAAAGCGTATCAAGAATGTACAGAAAAACCGTACGGGTATTTCGGTTAGCGATATTACAGAAATTCGTGATTAATAGCTTTTGAAAGTGTTGGCATACGAAATCTGTTGTTTTAGGGCCAAGACGTGGTCGTATTGCGGAGCATCCGTGCTGGGATTTGGTGCAGCGAATCTATGAGCATAATTGTATGATATGCCGGATATGCTCACGAGTGATTAAATGCATTAATACGCGTAATGCAATGCAACATTTTCGCAGTTGTCATTACCAGGTGCAGATCGTTCTCAGTTTTTCCCTTATCAAGCAATTTCCTGGAAATGTGCTGCAACTTGCTGAAATCTGCCATGCATGCAACGTTCTTCGGTGACCCCTGGCATGCTGCTAAGTCGATTGTAGCAACCAGGTTGACCGTGGAATAGAAAGGTATTTTGAAGTAGGAAGAAGAAAAAATAATATTAAGAAATTACTAGAACTAGTAGAATTATTTTGACAAGATTATTATAATAGTGGTAAGAAATGTTTAGCCTAAATAGAGATAGAAGGCGCGATAGATTACAGCATGAAAAAACAGTATGAGAAAAGAAGGAGATACGAGATAAGACGTTTCTCGGTCCGTTAAGTCATATAATCAGCTAACTTTCCTCAGCGAGCGTGATTTCGGTGATTTTGTTTTTTTTTTATAACAAAATTGGTAACACAATTAAAGCGAAATAATATCTTATCTTCCCAGTGGAAGATCAGTTAGTGTTGTTGGAAAAGACATCTCGTAACTCAGTAAAAGCAGTTTATCCAGCGTTTTTCCCTCTCAGTAGATCCATATTCAACTGAATGTAGATTTATGGAAGCTAAATCCGCTGGCCGGCTAACTCTGTGTCATTATTGGATGTTTTCCAGGTCGCCGTGGAACTCGATCAATCTTGGCAAGTGAAGTTGCAACTTAAAGCGAATTTCAATCGTATTTCCAGCAAACCATCATCGTCATCACCATCATTAATTCGTAAGGTTTTTTTCCCACTTTCACTTAATAATTTGTTTTTAGCTGAATTTGCGAAAAGGGAAGAGGGGGGGAGGGGCTGATTTTACATACGCTTGAATATTATTGCGTAGCTGTTGGCTATTATTTTGATATTTCGTTCGTTCAGTTCTTTTTTCGTTGTTTTGTTTCCTCTCGCCATTGATGCAACTGGTAATTTCTCCATTATTCTCTGTTTTGAGCTTTTCTCATCCATCATATTATTAAAATGCGGCAGATTTGAGTCTCCTCACGTGTTGCAACTGAGAAAAGTACTCAGTTTTTGTTTGCTTCAGATTTTAATATGTGGAAAAAACGTGGTCGTGCAGCGGAACATCCCAGTTGGCGATATTTTTGTCGAATCAATCGTCGAAGTTCGAACTGTCGGTTGTGTGGTGCACATGTGGCTTACGCCTGTTCCGGTAATCTGATGAAACATCTCAAATCCAGACATATCGCCGAATTTACCATCACAGAAAGAGAGTGGCGAGAAATCCTCAAGGTTAGTTCTTGGCAACTTTTTTGTACTAACATATGCTGGTCCGGAATGGCCTCCTGGGGGAGAGCAAGGGGCGTGGGGGGAGGGTTTTTTCTTCTTTTTTTTTGGATTTTGTGGAGCTTACCACTTCCCAGTTAATTTTGAAAAGTATCATTTGGTGAGCTAACACAATTGCAGAGGAAGAAAGAGCTCTGTGAATTGAGACTGAAGGCGAATGCGAGTGCATCGGGATCCGAGGAACAATCACCGTCCAATTTCATGGCATACGACTGCGCAATCGACGAAACCGATGAGGGCTTAATTGGAGCCGATGGATTTGAGGAAGAAGAAGAGGAGGAAGATGATGATGTTGGTGAGTTCTTATGCTTTTTTCTAATGCTCGATATGAAATAGCAAGGTATAGAAATAACGGCTGAAGTAAGAAGAATAGAAGAGGAACTTGGGAAATAAAAATTACTCGAAATTAGCAAAATTAGTGAAATTTTAATAAGTTGGTAGGAAAAAGCTACGTTGGCGGGTTCTTTTCTTTTTACTGCCAGAATTTGATAGTCGCTGGTTGTTGCTTAGAGCAGATTGATTGTATTTTTAACTCCCGTGCGAATTTCCCTTTTTAATTTATCTTCCAAATGAAAGAACGAATCATAGAGAGATTGTTTGTCCCACTGGCGGAGTCAAATCTTCGATGTTTGGCACAAAAAGAGCCATTTTAGCGATGTCTGCCATCGAACTTTTTTTGTTTTTGGGATTTTTTTATTACATCTCTTGAAAGTTTTTTTTTTTTTTTTTTACCGGCAGTTATTGCTGCTTTTTCCAGGAAATGCTGAATCTTATGAAAGAAATGAAAAGGAGGGTGATGCAGCAGTGTCAAATGGTTTGTCTTAATAATATTTTATAATTTAGCATTTCACCCTTTTTTTGGTTTCTAAAAAGTATTTTCGAAGTTGTTCAGAATGTTTTTAATGTTGATAAAATCACTATGGTTGTAGTTGGAGAAAGCTAGAAAGCTGAAATTTTGGGATACTGTCCTCCATCTCCATTCAACCCGGAGCAAATTTAATTTCAGCTTCCCCATGAGTCTGGGTACCGCATACATTGTTTCTCGAAAATTTTGACGGGGAAATTTGTTGTCCCGAGAATCAAGAATTTCCGGCCTAACTATCGTTTCCACCGTATTTCTGGCCCAATTTTGGCACACTGCTTACACTGCATCACT